TAGAACCAGATAAAATTAGGTAAGAAATAAATGCCAGAAATTATAATACTAGCTAATAAATATAATTCTACAGCATTCTGTAGATATCCCAAAGTGTTAATTATAACAGGAGCAGTTAAATTCTTTAGAGCAGTTAAATTCTTTGGCTATGAAAGTATAACATTTTTTAATAGACGTATCACCTGGTAACCTTGAGCATTATTAAATATATGGAGACTGAAAGAAATGGTAGAAGCAATGGAAAAGTCTGGCCAGACTGGGTAATTTGTTTTAGACCTATGGAGAAATCTATTAACCAGTTCTTCTATAGACCAATTTGATTAGGAAGTAGGACAAGCTGTTCTTTCATTACTTACCAAAACCATACTGCACTTTCTATCAATTATTTGGCTGTCTGCAGCACATAGATTAGAATAAAGGCCTTTCTCAGTGTTTGTGAACATTGTGGATTGCTGATTAGTAATTAAAGCACTGAATGAAGAAAATTAGGCCCAAACTGAATGGGAATGAGAAAGTCTTAATTCTGCGATACAGATGTTAGAAACAGATTGTCTAGCGTAGCCCATAGTGACATTGTACACAAGCGCGGAGTGTTTGCCTCCCATGGAAAACTCAGGCCGAATGCCTTGGAGATGGTTTCCGCTCCCATGCCTTGTGATGTCGCTGTATGGGTATTAATTTAGTGAAATATCCTGTCTGCCAGGTGTGGGAACTAGCTGATTTTATTGTAATACCAGATCATTACTTAATTCATATGCAACAGAGTGCAGCACATGGAAAGCATTATAAATCTATTTACAATGTAGCTGGTCTGATGATAACATTGTATTAAATTCCCAGGTGAGGCAATTTAAGCAATTGCTTTGCCATGTGCACTCCTTGGAAATTAAATTCTCATATACGCTTTAGTAATAAACCAACTTCATTGTTATGCTTATGCTAGTGGTGGGCTGTGGAATCCTCATTCTGGTTATGTATACCCTGTTTCACATGTAGAAACATACAGGAGCAGGAGCACCGGTCACAGTTCTTAATTAGTTTAAGCTAAGTTAATTCATTTTGTTTCTACGATAGTTTAGCAGTGCCTGTCCAGGAATGTATTCAGTTCAGTTGGGAAATGTTAAGGCTCAGGTCAAGTAGATAGTTTTAAGCCAAATTGCCAGATAGAACTGAGCAAGGGTATCTGTTTGAACTTGGCTTTGAGAAAATCAGCCACTCAGTATGCAAAAGGTCTGTTCGTACACCAAGTGAATTCTCACTTTCATAACGAAGGACTGACTTTTATCATCAGTTTGAAATAGCCATTGAAACTGAGGGCACCTAACTTCCTAGGGATAACAATCACTTGCTAATGTCCTATTTTTTAATCGTTTATATAAGGTCTGTAGATGTTTTCTGTCCAATTGTGTCTGGTTCACCTAAGTGTGTTAGTTAAAAGGAGTAAGTTTTACACAAACGCAACTAAAAGTGAGAAACGCTCTTGTGTTGTATTTAACATTGTGTGTGTGTGTGTGTTTGTGTGTGTGTGTGTGTGTGTGTGTGTGTGTGTGTGGCAAATATTGTCAGCTGAAGCTTTTCCGTCCTTATGGTACAGACTCCAAATTACAATAGATTACAAACTGCACAGAGCTTCTGTCTTCTCCAGAAGCCACATATAAAGCACCAGTAGACAGTGGTAACTGACAACTAAGACTAAAAATGTTGACAATTTCTTGATTTGCCTGGTTAGCTTATGTATAGAAGTCATTAACTATTTATAAAATGCATTATGAATTGGGTTCCTTCAAACTGTAGCTGAGTGTGTGACATTTCCAGCTCAAATCCTCATGCTTGCATTTGGCTAAAGTACAGATTTTATACAGTTGGTAATAAAGTAAAATTATTTTAGTTACTTTATCAAGATACAGGAGATGTTTCGGTTCCATTAACTTTGAATCTTCCAAATTAAAATATGGCATAGTACTTGGTAATGTAGAGTGAGGGTTTTAAAAGTTCTGCAAAAGGTGAAATAACTTATTGATTTTTTGGAGGAAAATCATCCATAAAATAAGCCGTTTTTTCCCTCAAAGGAATTTTCCTTTTTTGGTATCCAATTAGTTTAATGATGATCCTGCAGGCTAAATTATGGTTGATTACAATCAGCTTAATTTAAAATTTCAAACCATAAAAAGTTAGGAGAAAAATACCAGTGTCAGACATTTAAATATAATTCTTAATAAAATGATGTCTTGACACTTAAAAATGTTTGTAAAATGATACTCAAGGGTAAAGACTTCAGTTTTTAGCGTTGATATATCATTTTCATGAAGGACTATTTCTGATATTTGAAATGAGTTATCTTTTCATTCTTTAACAGAAGTCAGTTCTATCAGGAAACATTTTGTAAACTGAACCTATCATTTGCTTAATTACATCCAGAAAGCTATCCCAGTGACCAGTTTTTACCTTCCCAATGGTGAAGAATGACATTTATAGGGACAGACCACCCTTCAACTGTGGATAAATTCTTAGGTCTCCTCTGTTACTGAGCATGTCCACTCTTAATTGCTGGTTTTCAAAATAAGATGAGATATTTAGGGATACATGCTTGCAATTTTCTTCCTCTTTTGAAGTACAGTAAATGAAAATAAGAATATAATATAATTGAACAATCTATGCCAGTTTGTTGGTATTTTGGTGAAAAAAGGGAAAAACAAAAACCCTCTCCATATGATATTCTTGCATCCTGTGGAACGTTTTAGTCCCCCGTAGTGATGAAATGAATAATTAAAAAGGCAGCTCTGATACCACGGCCTGTTTAAAGGTTCTCATTTCCTTTAATGCCGTAAAATACTTTGCTTAGCTAGTTTGAAACTACTGTAGTGGGAATCTCCACGTGGGCAAAAGGAAGGTTTGACTTGATCTAAACAGTGTAGTAAGGCCATGAAGTATACTGTCCTTGTAACTTAGCATTTTTAGTACAGTTCTATATGAAGTTAATAGGAATATCTAGTTAATAGCAGCTTGAATAAATACAGTGAGAGAAGCAGACTTAATTAATGTGCTGTTTGTGTTGGTAAGATGTCTGGCTTATTCACAATGAATGAATTGGGCCACTCCTGAATTGTTGAGACGTCTGATAGAAGTGCCATTACTGACATGAGGCTGATGACTTAACTTTTCTACTTTGCCCTCTCTGAAACATTATTGGTTTTATTTATCTACATGCAGACTTACTGCATTCGCCAACGTATAAGATATGCATTTTTAGCAGGGGGTGCAACCCTGGGCAGGGTATAGACTCAGGATGGTATGCCATCCTCTCCTTTATACTGAAACATTTTACATGTTTTGTTGTATCTTTTCCCTGAGTGTCCAGAGGATAATAAAGTGGTCAGAGAATCCTGTGTGATAGCATGAGCACTGACCTGTGAGTCAGGACCCCAGTTTAACCAAAGCTACCTTTAGAACTCCATGACACTGGCTTTTTCCCCCTAAAAATTAAAAGGGTATCTAGATTTATTTATTTTTATTTATACTCCATTCAGCCTTTTCAACTGGGTTCTGCCAGAGAGGTAAGCCCTAATGCCCCAAGGCTTCTGTTCTATGTAATAAATTAAATTCTGTTTTATGTACCATTCTTGGGAGAATTAAGAAAATAGTTACTGAAATAATTTTCTGTGTTTTGTGGTTCAGATAAGAACCCCAATTGAGAAAAGCAACTACTTTAACATGATTTAAAATCTATTGGTTTTTCCTCTTCAAAGTCCTTTTGAATTCTAGCATAGTATAATTTTATGTGTCAGATATTATGATCTCTATGTGACAAAGCAGTATTCCTCATTCATTACTTTAGAAATCTAATTTAGAATCTTGTTGACTTCTGATTACGGATTATGGATAGTCCTTTTAAATTGCAATAATTTTTCCGATAACCATTGGACAGGTAAGAAATTTTAAGTTCAGAACTGAACTTGAAAGTGAGAAGAAGATGACCATTTTCTAACTGCCATGTTTAAATCCACTGTTTTGCTTAGTTAGTTCAGAAGCAGAAAAGGCAACAGAGTAGCCTATAAATCTGAATTTGGGTCTGACACGGTGATGCCAAAGTAGCATCTCAGGACTGTACTGTCGCTTCGTAGCTACTCTGCGGAGCCTTTTAGCTTTTCCAAATGTGTACACTCAGGTCAGAAACTGCGCGTAGACATGTCCCTCTGACTTTACAGGTGAAGGTAGACTTCTTGTAAAACAAAATTTCACCCTGCGAAATGTTGACTCAGCCCACTTGTCTTTATTTACTGGGATTATGAAAAGTTGACTCATAGCCTCCTTGCTTTTATTTACAAGGATCGGGGAATTTAATTTGTTTTACCAGGCACGCACATGCATGCACACAACACGCTCCCATACTTGTCCTCAGGCCATTATTTAGAAAGGACCTAGAGACGTTTAAATTATTGTTTGGAAATGGGTTGGGCTTTTAAGTTTCATCTCTTTTTGGTTAGTAACATCACAATAATGAAATATAGATAACCAATTTTTCAGGCATTCCAGTGTATGTATGCAGATACAATATTGTCCTCGAATTGGAGATTTTAAAAGACCTATATTGTAAAATGGATTTCCTGCCACAATATTAAAGACCCCCATGTACTCATAATTACAGTCTGGTGAGTTTTACAGATATGCAGCTACAGAGCTGTATTCCTTTGGTTTACTGTTCTTATTTGAATGACTTACATATGGAATCATATACCACTTCCGATCCATTTTGCATATTAATGGAGTACTTACACAGTGCAGAGTTTTCTTTCATTATTGGTATTTGAAAACCTTCTAATTTACATTAAACTTCTCAAGTTCAAAAACTTTACACAACTTTGGTTTGCAGATTGTAGCGAATCGTTTTCCATTAGGGGGCTCTCGAGGTTTGAGATGATCAGCCTTGACACCAACAATGCTTCGAAGCCTGCACTTCCTAACGTTTATCTCACTCTCTCCCTTTTTGTTTTGTTTTATAGAAAAGGTCACGGATCGCCTACAGTGACGAAGTACGCAATGAGCTCCTAGGGGATGATGGGAATTCCTCAGAGAACCAGGTAGCATGCTAATCAGGAAGGCCCGGTGGGTGGCTGGAGGGTGAAGGAGGTCACGGGCACACTGGGCTCCCAAGCTGCTCCTTCCCAGTATTAGCAGCAACTCATGTGGAAGTGATACTGTTTAATGCAAAGCTGGAGTCTTAATCAACTTCAAAATGTTTCTTGGAGATCTTACATTTAACCCTTTACCTTGGGATCACTGTCTGCTATCTTTAAAAAAATCTTTTTTTTCTCTTTTCTTTATTATTTAGTACTTAAGGAATAACTTGAAACACACTGTTTGCAAACAAAGACAAGGTCTTCACCTCAAACACATGTAAAAGGAATAAAAAAGTACACAATGCAGCTTTGATAATAATGCAGTATAATTAAATCAACACTTGCAGCAAAACAAATGAAAGTAAGCTTTCAAAATTCAACAGGGCAGCTCAGTCTCCTATTGTGGAGCTTCTTAAAAATACATTCAGTAAAATGCAAATCGTATGTGCTAGTGTGGAGCTTGGATACTCGTAGATGAGTTCTGCCTCTGCCAAATAACAACAACAACAACAACAACAATAATAACAATAATAGGAAAGTTGTTTTGCAGTTTAGGATCTGCATAAACAAAAAATAGGCTCCAGTTTCTTCAAAGGGCCTTAGAACTTGGTTGTCAGGTCTCACTGGGTCACACAGCAGTGTCAGGAGTCTGTTCCCCACTTTTTCCTTTGAGTTAATACTGCAGGTTTAATCAGTTCGTATAGCTAATATATATGACTTCTGAAAAATGTTTCCGGAATCTCCGTACAGAGATGATTTCTAAAATGTCTCAACCCCAGTCACTGGTTCTCTTTAACACTTTTAAAGATAGAGGGCTTCAGAAGCAAGCACCTGTTTATTAATTATACTTTAGCAAAAACTATAAAGATCTCTACTCTGCCTAAATGAAATAAATCACCCATGGAGTAAACCAAAATTTTACTAAGATTGTAAAACATAACAATATAGTGATACACATTATGAAAATTCCATAATTATATTTATGATTTCAAATAAATTATATTATAGGTCTGTATATGCTGCAAATATATTACTGTCTACTATAAAAATATATAACAGGGGTATTGCTTATGTGATTAAGTCTCCCATCTACCCACCCCACCCCACCCCCAAAAAAAAGGGAGAAGAGTCATGAGCTGATTATGTTCGTTTTGGGGAAGTCTCACCTTCTCCACTATTGGGGTGTTATCAGCCTTAGTTCAGACATGTACACACTTTAAGATCCGACTTGGGGATTTCAGCTCTCCTGATTGAAAAGGTGAGAGCAGCTAAGGGAGAGAAAAAAGTATACGGAGCACATCAAACAGAAAAGGGTGATGTGATAAAGGGGTCTTACTCATAACAGATTAAATAATGTAGGAATGAGAGAAAAAAATATTTTCTTCCTATTTTCAGTGAGATTTAGGTTGCTCATACTTCTTGAATGAGTGAATCATAATTTTATTTCCTATCTTCAAAAAAAAGATCATTATCTTTTTTTTAACAAAATACTGAATGTGTAGTTCCCATGTCAGTTCTTTAATAAGCTATAGATCATTTCCTCATTTCAAATCAACGATTGCCTGATACAGAGGAAATGGACAGGAAGGGGGTGTTCCTGGCTAACCAGGTGCCTGTATTGTGATGGGCGGTGCAGCACTGGGACAGGGCCGCCCCCCCACTTTTTAAACTATGTTCACACCTCTTAATGGACATTTATGTGCCTGAAACATTTGTGTTACGTGCATATAAGTATGATCTTTTTATGCCTCAAAAAAAGTATTCCACCAAAATAGACTGAGTTCATATTTTCTGAATTTTTCTAATTATATTCCTGTCACTTTCAAGTGATAGCACAGAGATTTAGTCATGAGAAGCTGTCACTTCAATAAATAGAGTATGATAAATGATAGTCATGGGTATGTAACTATTAGATTATTACCAATGTGAACTTTTCAGTCTAAAATTTGAATGAGGCTGGAAAGTTCAAAGAAACCACGTTTAACTCTTTGGATATTTAGTTACCAGGTGTAGAAAAATTTCCATTATCATAATGAAGATACTAAATTTTGTTTTTAGGCTCGTTATCATAATATAGGAATTAAAATCCCTCAAACTAAACCATCCTTAAACAGGAATGGTCACTTGAGAATAAGCCTTTATTCTGCATCAGTGTCCATTCAGACTACAGAATTAAAACAGAGCCCTTTCTTCAAAGGAAGAAAGGGTCTTAAGTTGGTTTTTCATATTAGTTTTCGTAGCTGAGTGGCAAAGAAGATAGTTTAGTTCTGAGTCAACTTACATGTAATTTATGTAAGAAAGTATTTTCTGCCCACAAATAAGTTTATTTTCAAGTTCATTATTGATAAATCGATTTTCAGAACTTACTGCCTTATCATGAACTTTTAGGATACAGAGAATATTTGAATATAAGCAAACTGAGACAAAAATAGCAGTATTTGTTTCACTGAAGTTGGGATATAGCTCAATATTTTTTAAATTATAGGTCAGAAAATGAAAATAATTAAGAATCAATAGCAATGGTTATAAATAGGTAATATAAACTAAGTACTATTTAGTTAATTTTGATGTAATATATACAACCTCCCTATATTGGCTTTTTTTTTGTGGTGATTTAGACAAATGTGTGTGCCATAGCTGTGACTTCTCATTCTGGCCATTGATAATGCCTTTTTCAAAGGCACTAAAACCTGGCTGTTGATACACACAATTATAATCTTCCAATAGCTATAGTGTATATTAACTTATTTTTATATATAAATATTTCCACCATGATTAGAAATGTTAAGATTTCAAATCCTAAGAATTGTTCAACTGCATCTTTAATGTCCCTCATGTAGTACATAGTTTCATGTAATTTCAAATTAATTGCTTTGTATAAATTTGTTTCTGATTCATATCCATTCCATACAATCAAATAGAGTTCATCCCTAATTTACAAAGAAAGGGCAAAATTACCAACTTTGCATATTTGAGTACTATTGTTGGGTCATCAACTTTCCAAGGATTGTTTCATAGGCATTAATTATCATTCTGTTCTTTTAAAATATCATATTTTCTATTGCACATAGCAACAATTTAATTCTTGAGAGAATTGAGATTTTTTATATAGAGAGATGCTGTATTTAGAGTGGAAACCTTAATAGCTGTTCATTTGATTTAGTTTCATGAAACCCATTCTCAGAAAAGGAAAAAAGTACATTTTGTAGAATTAAATCCCCTTCATAGTAAAGTATCACAATGAGGCAAATAAAATGTTCCAAGCAATACCTTTGAACTTGTAGTGGTCTCTCAGTTTCCATATGTAAAATTATATTGATCAGTGAATAAACCTGAGCAAATGCTATTTGAGTAAATCCTAGAGGGTTCAAAGAGAGATATAGAAAGAGTAGGATATTTGTAAACGTGCCAAAATTTTTGTGGTAAAGCAATATTTAGCAGATAGGATTGCTTAATTTTTTTAATACGAGGTTCTCTTAAGTTCCGATTTGAGCTTGCTGTGCATAAAGTGTGTCAAACTTCAGCCACAGACCAGGGGGTGAAGTCGGTCAATTTAATTCCCCAAGATCTAAAGGAGGTCGGTATCATTTCTTATAGCCCTGGCAGAGCAGATCATTACCAGGCACAAATCTGTTCGTTACGTGCTGAGGGTTTATAGCAAAATAAATAGACTGTCATCATAAGTTCAGAAAATTGTGTGTTCGACCCACGATAATGTGTAAAGGGCGTTTAATAGAGTTCAGCATTTATTCGTTATCTGTATGCGGACAGAGACGGCAGTCGCGTTATCAGCTGTAAAAAAAAATTTTTCGGGAGCCGTGGGGGTCACGTGACGCGCCGCCCACACCGAGGCGCGCGCATGGGCCCTCCGAGCTCCGCAGAGCAGTTTTGATTTTAGTCACAGCAGAAGGCTTAGCCACAAGAGATTCCACTGGTTCAAACCAGCGTAAACCAGATTTTTTCAGCCCACAAAGGAATAGATTACCTCTTGTATCACATTCTGCATTGAGTGTGGGGGGGGGGGGGCGATGGTGCGAGCACCTCTTTGTTTCAGGAAAGATATTGGTGATCATAACTCAACGTGGTGGCCTGGCCCTCGTTCGTCTCGTCTGTGCGGAGCTGGTAACCCGATGATATAAGAAATCACTACTTCCCGTCTAGTCGAAGCATTGCTAATTCTCAAATATAGACCATCTTTTGTTTACTTGAATGAAAACTCTCAACCCTTAAAAAAAGAAAAAAAGAAAGATAGAGATTAAAACCCGTCCCATTACCTAGCTTAGCTACAAATCCGGCGTAGAGCTCAAAGGCAGCCATGCAGCACAAACAAGATAGAACATTTTTTGTTTGGAACCTATTGAAGAAACAAATGGGCAGCATTTTAAACACTCATTGATTATGGCAGGGTGGCATGCCCCAAATGGTCTCCACTGCTGAAGAGTAGTTTTAAACTTTGGCCCTTTAAGTATCATAGTCAAGTGATGAATGGTCCCCCCAGAAAGGAGAGAGCTCCATGCGATCCATTCCCAGATCTTCTCTTTCAGAGAATTAATGTTTGCCTTTTTCCCATGATGTTCGGAGAGCAAAGAGAAAGATTCTGAAATGTGATAGGCCAGGTATTTTCATTTAAAAATCTTACCTCTAATGGAGAAGAATAGTACCTTTCCACGTGAAGCGATGAGGGGCTTTACTCATACCCACTGGATGGTTGCTAAGTGTATTAATTAAAAATAATGACTTCTTGTATATTTTGAAAGGACGACGTTAAAAGTTTAATTTTCACTGAGACATTATGTAATAGATTCTATACCCATTTTATGAGATTCATAATGATTTTGAAATCTCATTCTTTTGTACTTGAAATACTTTTCCTATAACAAATGAAATAACGGAAGAAGCTGGAATGCCTGCTGCCTCCTTTGAATTGGAGACAAAACCAGCATTAAGCATTGAGAAATCTAGGCTATAGTAAACATGATACTTTTGGAGAGAATTACAGGGAGCAATTCATAGCACGTTTCTCCCAAAGCAATACTTTAATCTATTGGCCTGCATGTGTCAAGTGTTATAACAGATTTTAGAGATATTTGGATGTTTAAAATTTATCAATTGTAGCCCTGAATTGCTGAGGCTGCACATTTCAGACTTAGAACGTGGTTTATAGTCTCTTCCAATACAGGTTTCAGTTTCTGTTCATTGCAGAAACTGTGGCAGTCTTCTCAATTATACGCTGATATTTGTAGTGTACAACACTGTCAAACATACACATCTACCCATACAAAGAGTGAGCCAAATGGTTATGTCCATTTTCTAGCTTCTAAAGAGTTAAGCAGCTTCTTTTATCTGTTATATTTCAGGCAAATAGAAAAATGGTCTGCAGAAGAGAGTTGAAATGTTATCACAGGACAATTTACTAACAAATAAAGATAGGTTTGGAGTCTGACTTTAATGACAACAAACTGCAGTACAAATGAAGTAGGAGATGCTTTGAGGTGGCCCAGTTTAAAAAATGAAGAAAATTGAAAAATAAAGAAATGTCAAAAAAATTTTAAAGCACCATGTGATTGCAGTAGCCTCTTAAGCAAAACAAACATGTGGAAGTTAACTCTAATACACACAGTGTTTCTAAGGGTAGTGAGATGTTCTCTGATACCATGTCCTAAGTATTATCTATTCTGGCATGCATTATTCTCAATGAAAACAATGTTATCTCCCAATGCAATTTTTTTTTTACTACAGTGAGTACAAGTATGACATTAACATAATAGTTTGTTTTATTGGGACAAAAGCATGAACTATTCATCATTTTCATTTGTAGCTAAAATCTGAAATCAGTTGTCAAGATTCTAAATCTAGAAACATCCTGAAAACTTGTATTTACAAAACCTTTTCCGTAGTACATTCTTAGAAGAGAGGAACAGTAAACTTGTTTTCTTTCTTTATAATATAGACTTCTATGAAGTCATTCCCCTTTATTTCATGATGGTGTCTTAGATGTACTTTAAAAGAGAATTTCACACTATTCTCTTTGTTTAATGTGACAGTGTGAGAAAGTGATCTTTATTCGTTCAAAAACTCTGCATGTAGTCTGTGTTTAGGTTCTTTTAATGTGTTTGTCTGTGATTTCTAAATGCTAAACATGTAAACAGATAAATTGTCAATGTTAATTCTGTATCCTGTCGCACAACTGATCTTTCTTTCCTGCCATTTCTCTTCTTTTTATCTTTTTTTTGTGCATTCATGTTGCAGTTGATAAAATTACGTGAAGAGGTGAGTACTTTCTAGCTTGCTTTTTTTTTAATTCTGCTTTTCCCTATAAAATTGAGTTTCTAAATCTGAAGTAAGATTTTTGAGTTCATTTTTCCAGGCAAATCTGCACAGAGCAAAATTATTGATTATGTTGCTAGATATATTCTCTGCTGATTATCTTTAAAAAACAAGCATATCCAAATCATGCCTGTTTCAGCGATCATTGTTATTTGTTGGCATCAGGTGGAAAATTCATATTCTAAAAGCCCCAAAAGGAGGGAAAATAAAGGAATTTCGTAAAACTATCATGAAGTATCATTTTTAATGCAAACTAACTTCAGACTTGTTTTATTTATATTGGTTTCACAAAGAAGTCAACATGAATAATTTTTTTTCTTGCAATCTGATTTACTTTACTGAAAACTGTTTTTAAATAAACTTCTTTCCCTCACCCAAATTCAACATAAGATATCATGAATCCATTATCCTTTTGGGGAAACACGTATGTTATGAATGCTCTACTAGTCCGTGTACACAGACACCTAAGAATAACCAAAGCTCTCGTCATTGTTAAGCACTTTCCTTTCTGTAGGAAATAGCACCCAAGTGAGTTCTCATTTTCCTGAATTTGCTAGCCTGGTTCATAATGCAGCCTCAGACATTTCTGTGGCCCAGCAAATATTTATAGCAATGTTATCATTTTACCCCCACATAGCAAATGATTCTGTATTTTTTTTAATTAGGCCAAACTTATCAGATATGCTTTGGTACTCTTTGCAGAGACAGTGTAGTTTCATTTTTCACTTACTACAGTTTTGTTGCTTTTATATCAGGACATAAAATAGTGGCTTGTGTTGCAACTTAAAAATTGCCCAGTTGCTTATAATCCGAGTACTGTGAATTATTTCTGAATTTAGATGGACTGCATTGATTGAGTTTTTCTAGAACTTTTTTTATTGGTTTGTCATCATTCTCCAGGGGATACAAATGCTAATTTAGAGGCTTGTAGATAGTGGTCTTCAACAGATTTTTAACTGAAAATGCATGAGTGGTATCTTCTCTTAGAAAAAGTAACAATGCTGTATAAAACAAAAGCTGAAGATACACAAACCCATGCCCTGCAACCTTTTTTGTTGGTTGGTTGATTGGTCGATCTTCTCTACATTGAAGCAGATGTATACACTAAATGAATATAATCAATTGCAGATCTGATATATAAGATTATTCCTGAGGGGGGCTGATACGTCCATAGTTTTTTTCTTTTTCTTTTTTTTTTTTTTTGCAAGACACAATATCTGCTTGTATAGATTTGCATATGTTCATGTTTAGGTGAAGAATCAGAATTTTCAAATATTATTGGAACTAATAACAGATTTTAAAAACTTCTATATGAAGAAAGTACATGAAGCTCTGACCCCTGACTTCGGCAATGAATATAATTAATAAAAGTGTGTGTCTTATTACAATTGACATTTTTGACAGGAGACATTCTGCTGTTGTTAAGCTGAATTGTGTGGATTTAGCAATCTTAATTTTAAAAGCTGCAAACATAAGGTCTGCATTTCTTTCAAAATATGTTTTATCATTATTTTATGGCTTAACTTTTTTTATGCTGCCTTTAGCAACAGTTTCATCAGTTATGCTTCTGGAATGCATGTCTCCAAAAGTGCAACCTGTGATGAATTGTACTTGGAAGAATTATATATATCACCGAACTAATAGAATAATATGCTCTGAAATAGTCTTTCAACAATCTTTGAAATGAATGTAGCATTGATGTTTATAGAGATGATGGTGATGACGGTGCACTGGTACATGGTTTGCTCAGAAGCGATTGTTTCTCAGCCAGGATTCTAATAGGAAACAACCAGAATGTACCCCAGATTTCTTTCTTGTATCTATCCCAAGAAAACAGGCACTCCTGTCCTCCAAAATAGGACGTTTTGTTGTGCTTAGAAACAAAATACGCCCCCATCCCTTCTTTGTGATGCTCTTTTCTGGCTCAGTTCTGTAGACTGGGCGTGCTTGGAGGCAGGCTGGCAGTGCACGGGAGCTGACCTGGCGTTGGCGATGCCTGGCTGTCCGTGTCAATGAGCGTCTCCAGCCCTCCACACTGCACAGCTCCTTACACAAGTTAAGCTCCATCTGAGCTCCTGCACAGCTTTACTTACCTGCTTTGAAAAGGGCTGAGAAGAGGGTGAGAGAATGAGTTTGGGATGGAGTGTGGGGGGCAAGTTGAAAGCATCAGCTGCTACTGTAGTGTATTGCCTTTCATTTTCAGAGACCAGGGCAAAGCACAGCCGAGGGAACAATGTAAATAGCCCAGCTGTTACAAGAACTTGTTTTTAGCTTGACTTAAGTGAAGGGGCTCCAAAATACAAAGGGAGGTCCTGCTGGAGAGCTGCGGGTAAACTGAGAGTCCTCTGAGTGCACATTTAATCTGAGAAAACAGAACTGTCCCGAAGAGGACTGACTTCTGTTGTTTAGGAACATTCTCTCTTTTTAAAAAGGGTCTTTTAGAAACTGACTCCCACCACAGCCAAACATGGATAATCTAATTTAACTCCCTTTTATGGAATCCTGAAAATCATTCCACATTTAAATGCTTTGTTTCCTACATTATATATAATCATCTAATTAGACTGTCAATTTCCAGTATTGATCTCGGACTTTAAAAAAATCTACAGTAGCTAAATCTTTCTTTTTAATTTAGGGATTTCATCCAGTAGCAAAATGAACTAAAAATCTTTGTTTCGTTATTCTGGATTAAAATTCAGATTACTCTTGATTTCACAAATCTGCTATCTTTTTACAGAATCAGCAACTTGAAATTGTCCTTTGTTAAGGGAGAAAACAATCTTCAAAAAGGGAAGAGTAATCCTATTCCCCAAAACCTGCATGTAGTGAGAATTAGGAGTGAGAAAGCTATTTTGACAGGCTAAGTAAAATGTTTAATTTTATTTAAAAGTAGTCATTAATGCCAAACACACAGAGCTCCCCTTGCTTGTCTTTTTCTCAATTACAGCCTTTAGTGATTTTTGCGCTTCCATAATATAAGCTTTCCTTCCTTCCTCCCTTTTACTTATTTAGTTTAGGATTTTTTTTTCTTGCAGAGGGAGGAGCAGTTTTCCTTAATTTCTAAACTGTATATTGGATGACTCTATTAATTATTATAGACCGTTGATGCAGCTTCCCTGACCTTCACATCAGGTCCTATCTCTCTGTTCTAAATGCATTGTTTTAATGATTCTTACCCCTCCCTTCCCCCCCCTTCCCCCAAAAAAAATTTCAAGGAAAGCTTTGATGTGGCTTTAGCTGCCTCCAACGTCTGGCCGCATCTCAGATGTGTCACCTATGCCGGGAGGGAATAAGGAAATCACGTTTTGAATGGTAATGATAACATACTAATCACTTCCTTTCTTTGAAGATGGAAGCGAGATATTCTGTCAGCATCCCTGGCTGCTAGAGCTTGGAGGCACTGGTCTAGGTGTATTAGCTTAAGTGTGCATGTCAATACAGCTTGCATCTCCAGGATCCATGGGGGCTCATTAGAGCAAGGTAGATCGTTTCACTCGACAGCCACTCAGATAATATGGATGGCACCTCCTTTTTTTATTATTATTAGGAAGCATTTCTTCTATTTTAAGTGACATCTGCCAACAACACAAAGTTATAGGACTCGTGGTTGCAATATTTCTTTCTTTTTGACCAAATACCAAAACTGATTTGAGGGGGTAAGCTGCTGACCAATGCAAATACGTGTGTGCCTCTACACACACAAACATACACATGTACGTATGCATATATTTCTGAGTGTCCAAGCATGCATGTCTCTACACACATGTTCACACGTGCATGAACATATTCTTACCCACTCACAGCAATGATTAGCTTACAAATCTGTTCGTCAACCTGAATAGATCTAGTATAGAATCGTGGTTTTTTGTTTTTTTTTTTAAACAACAACCCCTTAATGCAGCAATGAAAGTTTAGAAGCTGAGATTTGAGGGAAGATCCTCTAATCAGCCAATCAGATATAATATAAGAGAGTGCATGTAATTATTATATTAATAGTTCACAGTTATGTCAAGTTTACTTTGAATCTAGTGCATAAATTCACGATTTTGTACATCTGTGTGCGTGGAGAAACACACATCCCTTGTTTCTTAGTGCTGCCCCGAGTTGTCTTCAGCTAGACCTGCTGTTTGGTATTCTGTCTTAGTAGCACATGTTGTTCTGTGTGGCATCTCGCCGCACATCCAAAACAGAGGGACATCCTCTTAGAAATAAAGTTCCTGTTTAAAAATTACAGTCTGCAGAAGTTAAAGGAACAAGTGAGTGTTTTAAATGATTGCATTTACACAAGATAAATATAAAATAAGGGCCATAGATCTATGCAAATGCCTCATGCATTTGCCTCTCCTGAAACAGGAAAGATCCAGTTAACTCTGGTCGTAGTACATTTTTCAGTGTTTTGGAGTAAGATTTACTGTGGCTACGTACAACACAAGCCTGCCTTTTAAAACAAACAACAAAAAAAAAGTGGATGGCCCATACGCAACTGAGTGATTGGAAATCCGTCCATTGTAGCGGATCTTACAATGGAAGATTTGCTCAAAATTATTTCTAATGGGTTTTGACTGCCGTCCCCCTCCCAAATGTTAGGGCATACAAAAGCATTATTTTTTTAAAGGCAAAAAAAGAACATTGTAGACGGCCGTCTGATTTTTTTCCCCTTTTTATTTTTCAGAGGGCACATCTGCTAGATAACACAGAGAGGCTGGAAAGGTCATCTCGGAGACTAGAGGCTGGGTACCAAATAGCAGTGGAAACCGGTAAGAATTCTGAGAGTGAGCAAATTGTCTTGCTTATGCACAGCAGTCTTCACAACACATGACATTTCAGGGTAACTTCAAAGGAGCAGCAGAGACAGCAGCCCGAGATGTGGTTTACATATTGGGGAGACAATTGGGAGCTTATTTGTGCTTATCTTTTTTCAAGTTAAAAGGCATGACATCTACTGAAAACAGTTCCTGAGGTTTAAAAGTATATATCTGAAAAGCGATAGAATACTTTGTCTAAATTCTACATTTGTCTTAATATGCAGGTACATGTTGTCAGTTTACCCACCCGCAATGGTTGCTGGCATCCAGCACGGTCCCCAGTTGTTTGCTTCGTTACGTTTATTCCTGTTTGTAAAAATTAACATTTTCATCAGTCTAAATGATGTGGACTAGGGGCAAAGAAGTAAAAATCCCTAGTTCACCTTGCTTATTTATCCTGGTGTTAGAAATGGTTTCTAATAATCCTGTATTTTTTAAAAATCATGAACAGAGCCTATAAGCAGATATTAAGGGAAAAAGCCACAGTAAGAAGGAAGACATGATACATGAAAATCTCACTAGCATTAGTTAATACTGTTCAAACTTTTGGTTTGAGTTAACACTAGTTATTCTTTTCAGAAAACACCACCTTTATTTGACTTCCAAGACTCGTCTACTTAAAATAGACAGGCTTTTTAATCATAAATGTTTTGTGCAATGACTATTTGTTCTCACATAGTAAATAAATATCCACGAACTCCTTTGTAGCCGTCAGGTTTTTGTTACTTAGCTTTCTTTTTTGTTTTGTGTTGCAAAGTATAATTAGGTACAATCTGTTTTAACATATTTTTTTATAGTTTTTGCACAGTGTGTAAACCACAAAAATATATAGTTAACATTTCGATCATTTAAAAAAATTTAGGTCACCGAAATGTTTCTTTTGGAAGAGCAGGTATAATAAAAATGATTCCAAGTAATTTGTGCTGTGAATGGCTAGTGTTTTTTGTTGTCCTGGATGCATGGCTATTCATTCTGCTTGGCTGGCTGTGGGAATAAATCTAAGAAACTGAGTAGGAAGAACTCAGATGGCACTGGTATTAATGGTCGGAAGACTAAAAGAGACCATAAACCTTCCAGATTTTGTAGTACTGTAGGCGGCCCTTCTTTCTGAAGCTATTGGTACATTGGCTTTTAGCACTGATTGGGGAAAAGCCAACTTTTGTTTGCTTTTTCTGTCCTTGGGCTCAACTGTGGACGTAGCTGTGCTGTAAAGAATGTGAGTAAAGCAAAGAGCCCTGAACACGAGGTCGAAGGACCAGGCTCAGGTTGGAGGTCTTTTTGTGGGACCTTGAGCAAATCACATAACATAACCTCTTAGAGTCTGTGTCTTTTTCAACAAAATGGAAACAATCTTGCCTGTCTCCAAATATTCCTAAGAAATGATGGCATATGTGAAAATGTTTTATACGCTATAAAAACACTATATGAATATAAATATTATTGTGGGTATGTTGGTCATTTGATGATTACGGGCATTTATCTTTATTGCATAGAAAAAATTTCATTGTTATTAAAGTTTGTATAGATTTAAAAAGTTTTTAAAAAGTGTTACTTTGACATTCTTGGGGTCATCAAGGAACCTTCTTTGATAAAGCCACCCATTGGCGAGCCTCTTGACATGTGGAACTGGGATGGGCTGAGGGTGTTCTCACTGTGGCACTGTCTCTGATTGGGCTGCCTTTTCTCTCAGCCCATCATTCATACCGTTTCCTCCTAAAGCTGAAGGAAGTCGTCAAAGATGTCCTCAAATATGGGGTGGGGTGTGGTCATGTATTGATCAAGAAGATAAGATTGAGTGGGATTTGATAGTTTTTATGTGTGCTAAAATATAATACCCGCGTCAAACTATCAACACAGTCAACCTGGAGATGGTGAGTGGCCCAAAGTTCAACCTAAGTCTTCTTGGACTTTTTAATGGTAGGTTAACTACCATTAACTACTAATGGTAGATGAACTATAAAGCTGTGTAAAATTAGATGGTTATTTGTCATATAAGACTTGGGAACTTCTTACAGACTATAAAACCAAGTCTGTGAAGAGTGAGGGTGGGCTTCGTGGAGGTGGAGACAGCTGTGATACATACACCACCTCTGCCGGACAGGAGTCATCCCAGTGATTCAGGGGTGAGTTTGAACAGTGGATTGAGAAACAAGAACACAGCCACAACATCTTTGTGGGGGAGGGGGAAGTCTCAGCCTGGTCGCATCTAGTCAGTCAGCGGCTCTGCATATGGGTTATGATGTGAATTTATGTACTAACCATCTTGTTAGAGTAGCAGAAGAAGAGCAACTTTCAAAAGGAAAAGCTTTTGGTGTTTATTGGTTGCTTTTTCTGAAAGGCAATGAAATGCAAAAAGGAGATGTGGAAGAGTTAGTATGACTTTTGAAACAGCCTGAAAGAGAGAAATGGATTCCAAGTTTTGGTCTGAGAGCTAGTTCTAGACCACATTAAGTTTTCACCAGTTCACAGCAAAATGAGATTTTAAAAAAGGTCAAAGTAGTGACTTTCTCACAAAGCAAATTTTATTAATTAAAAGGACCACCGTTTGCAAAATCATGTTGTTTCTATTTTGGGGTGATAAAAGAAAGGAAAGTTTCATGGCAAGAGATAGAAATAGTAGGTAGAAGGTGTTTTTTTTTTTTTTCTACCTGAAAAAATAACAAAATTGGCAATCCTAATTTGGGCCTCTTGGAATGTTTTTCTGAAATTTTGTGTGTCTACAAATCTATGAACTATTGAAGAAAGATAGATCAGCACCATAACCTGACCTTGTCATTAATCAGCTATGTGACTTTGAGAAATCACTCAACCTATCTGGACATGTTCTTCTATTTGCAGAATTTAATCCTGGCACCAGATTCTATATATCCCAACAGCTGTTATAAAGTAAATGAGGTCACATATATTCAAGTGGTTAGACAGTAAAGAGGGCTCTGTAAAAGTCATCATTTTTATATATTACCATTAGCCAAAAGTGATTATTTTCAAAATTATTGATAAACTATTTCAATAAAAATCTTTAAACTTCTCTGTTCATTAAGTTGATGACAGTTATTAGCAAATATCATAAAAAGAACATTTGATTAGTATGTAAAATCAATTATATAGAGAGAAGAATAGAAAGCATATTACTTTGGCCACTAGTATCTTCCAAGCAAATATTGAAATTCATCTTCTAAAATTGTTGAGTTATTTCTGACATTTTTAAAAGCTGTTTTGTCGCCCTGGCTAGTGTAGCTCAGTGGATTGAGCATGGGCCTGTGAACCAGAGGATCATGGTTTGATTCCCAGTCAGGGCACATGCCTGGGTTGCAGGCCAGTTCCCAGCAGGGGACTCATGAAAAGCAACCATTGATTGATATTTCTCTCCCTTTCTCCTTCCCTTCCCCTCTAAAGATAAATAAATAAAACCTTAAAAAAAATTTTTTTAAAAGCTGTTTTGTCGAATTGGCCATTATTTTTTCCTTAAGAACAGCTGTTCAGCAGAGGGATGCATGTCCAGAATGCACTTGGTCTGAGAAAAAGGACATGGTTATCTTTAAGTGCCATTTACACCTTGATATATATTGAGTTTCGTACCAGTCAGATTTCTTTCCTGGTTCTCTTCCTATTTGAAAACACTGATGATGTTACAAGTGAACGGAATGGCTCCATTTAGAAAAGAAGGGACACTTGGAAGAATATATGACAAATGAAAGAGCTGATGCTGGAAAATTTCAATGGCTGATGTCAAGTGAGACAATGACCAGACTCATTAACAAAACTTTCTTTGGCGTGACAATTAAAGACCAGATGCTGTGGCAATTGTGTGAGTCATTGGCTGGGTCCAGTTTGGTGTTTCTTACCTAGTTCTTGTCCTAGAACCTGTGACTAAAAGTCACAGTATTCACTTATTAGTCATTACTAATAATTATGACTCTTAGATGTGTGGAGATATCTATTTTGTTTGACGTCAGGGACTTCATAGTTAAAACTCTGGGTCATCTGCCTTTTATTCTGCAATTATGATTATTTTTCTCTGAAGTAACAATCTCAGACTGACAGTAGGAACAGCTTTATGATTAACAAAAGACGTAGGCTGAAAGAGAAATTAAGCAAGGGCAGAAATGTGAGACTCATTCTCTCCTTTCAATATATAAACAGGGAGTTTAAGACACTCATGACTGTCCTACCCTATAATGCTCAGTGGACCCAGTGCACCTGGTAGTACATCTCTGGAACCATGTGGCATTTGTCTGCAGTTAGTAGCCTCATGTCTTTAAAGAGTGATCTACACCACATATTAGCCTTGCTCCTACCATCCCTGAGTACCTGAGCCTTGTGAGTCCGCACCCCTTCTCTCAATGGTCACCCCAGGCCACCTGGCTCTGATGTCCCTTGTGGTCCCTGATCTCCGCAGCAGGGTGCTACTTCTGCCAGCCTTCCTGCCATGAAGAAGAGGCGCACCATCCTTGCCCCCACTTATAATCAAGCGAGGAGATAGTACAGCCAGACCATCTGATTCCATGTTCGTAACCCTCAGGCCACACGGAAAAGTGAATGGGCCCTGCATACCGAGATTTTCCAAAGGCATCTGTTGTAGTCAAACTATGTCATGTTCTTATATGTATTAATTTCCTTTTCACATAATTTCAAAAATGGACCATTGAATGCTTCGTGCCATGTTCTGATAATACAGTAGTAAACAAGACAGCCGGGGCCCCTGTTTTTTCGGCAGCTTGTATATGAGGGCAGCAGTGAGGGGTGGGGGAGGCGATGCAGAATGAGACCTTCTTAAAAATCAACAAATAGGTGACTGGGTCATTTCAGATATGGTAAAAGTGAAGCACAGTATTCAAGAGTAACTGATGAAGGTTGTCTTAGGCTGGCTAGTGAGGAAACACTTCCCAGTGAGGTGACTTATAAACTGAATCTTGAATTGTATAAACATGCCATCAATGAGCCAATTTTGG